AGACAACAGGAGGAACGAAAAGACCAGCAACAACAGAAGAAATTCAAGACGGACTCCAGACTGGAGGACGTCAAGGCCAGCCGTCCAAGGGAAAAACGAAAAAGACAGCAACCCGACGACTGCTACGCCAAGAGGCCAGCATGCAGAGAACGCAAAAGAAAAACTAATGTAGACGACACTCGGACGTCAGTAAGGAGAAGATTGACGTCCATGAAAACTATCACGTGGGAACAATTCTGCCAGAAAAGAATGACGGAGTTCCAATCATCGAAAACTCAAAGTTAAGTTAAAATCTTCTATAAAATTTTTCTTTTGTTCCAAAATGTTATGCGTAAATACGAAGTTCTATGTTTTGACGGAAGTCAATGTGTCTCGGTTGAGACTTAGTTTTGTTTTTACTTTATTTAGCCTAAGGCAAAAGCATAAAAGCATTATTTTCTCTTAAGTATAAAATCTAAGAACAAGCAGTTTCATGTTGGTCGAAAGACTAATTCTGTTATGTTAAAGCCAAAATTTCGGCCGAAGATAAAAATAACTTCGTATTCTTGTATTAATAAGTACTTTAGTTTCAGTACCGCCAGCTTGGCGAAGAATGAGTAAAGTAAAAATTTATTTTTCTTTTATTCATTTTATGGTAAATTGTAAAAATCATATGTCTTAGAATTTTGTAAATATACGTAAATACTTGAATGTTATGTAAAAGTAGAATTTAGTCTAGAAGCATAAAATTTTAGATGCTAAAAATAAATGCTCAAAAGCAATGAATTCAAAATTTAAGTATTAAACTGTAGATAAAATCATGCTTTAGAGCGAAAGCCTGCATGTCTAAAGATGAATGAGGGGGAAGTTAGAATGAATGTGTTTTGTAGGGTTCTCCACCTACACTTGAATTTTAAGAATGTTAAAGTAGCTCATCGAGTTGTAGAATGTCGAGTAAGGTGTGTCTATTTGGTCGTTGAATTCTAACAAATCATGGTGGTTAGGGGAAGTGTTGTAATACTAAAACACGAATATTCCGGTTTGACACCACACATGGTGGAGAGCCAGGGTAAAGTTAAATTAATGTTTGAATACTTGAATGAATGTGAAGTAAGCAGTAACTAAGGAAAATAAATCGTTTAAAATCAAAATGTATTCAGTGTCAAGAAAGTGTAAATTATAATGTATTTAGAAAGATACTGATACTTATTCCTTCCAGATGCTGGAAGGAAAAGAACAAGATTGATTGCTGAAGTCCAGGAAATGTTGCTGTAAGAAGAGAGATTTAAATAAGTATCTACAGAAATTTAGTATACCTTTTGTTACATAAGATTTTTTTGGTGTAAACGAGGCTCTTAAAAGTTAGTTCAGAATTGTAGAAACTTTACAACAGGTCGTTTGTAGGACCTGCTTCCAAGTTTTCCAAATTCTGGCAGCGGCAAATGTAGGGTTTATATTTATTTTAACTAACATTTATTTTAAGTTTAAACTATCTTTCCTGTCAAGCCTTACTTTCCCCTGGAACTGCCAATGCCAGAGTATGTAAATGTTTAGTAGAACGCGCAAGGATTAAAATTATCAGCGGAAGTATTCTGAGTTAAATAGAAAGGAAACGAGTTCGAGATGGGCTGTTCTTACTTCACGAGCGCGGAGGTAGTTAGTCAGAAATTGAAGAACCACGCGTTCCGGCCTGTGTGCATGTCTCGGAGAATTGTTAATCTTTCAACGTGATATTCAGAGTTTGCTGAATTAGCCGCGGTATTGTAAAACGCGGTGAGGTTAGTTACGTTTAGAGAGCCTCGTAGTTAGTCTCTTGTTATTATTTCTTTTCAGGTTCTTATTTTGATTTTACCGCCGGGTCGGCGTAGTTTGTGAGCGTCAAGAGCACGCAATTGTAATTTCTTAAGTTGAATAAAAAGGGACTTAAACCCTTCGCAAGACTTTGTCTAATTTCCAGTTTCAGCAGTCACCACTTTGTTGCGTGCAGGTTGGAGGCGCGCAACGTTACATGCCTAACTACTTAAAAGACAGTAAATGAATGTAAGGGAACGAATGCTTTGGCAGTGAGTGTGGAAATTTCCGATATGATCCTTATATGAAATAGCACTCAGCACCATGTTGTTTCACTTTGCGGTGTCGCAAAATCAATCAAAATCGAAGCAAAACAAGAATCAAAGCATAAGGTGCATGGTGTAGAAGGTCTTTATCTTTTAGTTAAATCTTAAATATATATATATATATATATATATATATGTACAAGAGGCAGGCTAACAGACTAAATAGAATTACGAAACTTAAAAGTAGGAACTCAATCATTCCATGTACTATAATACTGCGCAATGCAGTCCGAATTCTAAAACATAGAAGACTGAATCACCAATTTCTACCTACTTCACGTGTTCAGAAGAGGAGGCGTTAAGTAAATCAAACAGATGGACTTGTAACGCCATCTTTTGGCAATATCAGCAAATATTTCTCAGCAGGGGCGTTGATAGAATGTCTCCTGCAACAACATCATTTCAAAAAACATGAGCTTTTTTCGGTGGCAGCCATTTGGTAAGCTAAAATTATAGTTACTTATTTTGATTTATTTATTAATACACTGTAAAATAGTCGCCCAGAAATATGAATCTGATAGCAGATACTTATAAAGAAACCCTTTTTCATTTCTATTTCTTATTATTAGAAATCAATGTCACCTTTCAACTAACATAAGGCTATAAAGTTTCCTGATAACTAGCCCTGTTATCTTATTAATTTGCCTGTACTTTCACTTCTACTTTCGCCATTTCCCACCAGAATTCACATAAGTTATGGTGAGTTAGATTATTTAAATATGGCAGAGAACATAAGGATTATCTGGCGAAGGAGAGGGGTGCCTTTGTAAAAGACTTTCTAAGGAAAACTGACTCTGGCTGTCTTTACGGTTCTAGTAGTTTTGGCAGTTTAAAGTACTGCAGTAACTTATAACTTACATTATAATTTTTACCATATCCTTTTAGAAAAGTTGATAACGCCCAATTATTATAAAATTTTTTCTCTTTCACGAAATTCACTTTGGGTCAAAATTTTATTTCTTACATTATTAACATTATAATTACATTATAATTAATTATAACAAATTATCGGAATACTTGTCTTTTCGAAATTTGCCTTTGATATTTCGACTTATTTATTTCCTTATTTTCGCGCTTTTATATGTAACTTCTTCGTTATCACTTCCATTCAGCTGAAAGATGTAATTACCTGTAAGCAATCCGACACATTAACGCATTTTCATGTAGTTTCTATCGTATGTCGATATGAATTAAATTCGCGTTAATGTAATTTTTTTCCTCCCATCAAAGTTCGGATAATTCCACTCCACGTCTAAAATAACTCGAAGATATAAAAATATTCCTGATAGGTTCTGCTATCTGTGTACGTGTGCGAAGTTCAAAGTAAAAGTGTACCGCCTCTGAATTTTGCCAGAGAGAACTATAACTTCCGGATTAAGAGATAATCTCTTGAGATTTCATGGTTTTTACGATAGATACTCAACTAATTTACAAACGTAGCATTATAGGATTCACGAACCATGGATGCTATTCGTTATTACAGTGGCACAACATCAACAAAAGCATCATATCGTCTGATTCTGTTTCATTTGGCAAACGTAAAAGATCTACACAAAATCAAAATATACTCTTCAGTGCCCGAATTTATGTTCAGCCATATGACACGTCTTCGTTAGGGATTCTTCTCCCATAAGCCATCAAGTAATAGCATCAAATAATAACTGACTAGGAAGGCAATGATACAAGTAAACAAAAATACTTGAGAAAAAAAACATATTCACTTAGATCATTTGCAAGCGATTATTACTAAGAGATTTTTTTAAACTAAATTCATTTGGGCGATTATCGTTCCATATTCGGTGAAATAGCATTTCATGTTTATATTACTTACTGGCAATATGAAACCATTAATCCCGTATAATATCTTCAGGCATTTTTCAGGTAAATATTCAGAACATTTTGTACGTAACTTATAAAATCATAGGACACGTTTCTTTAAAATGGTTCTCAAAGGTTTTCATATATAAATTTATTATTTAAAGAATTCTCCAACTGTTAATCCGTTTTCATAAATTTCTTTACATTATTAAAAAGAACTCTGTAATTAGAAACGCATGATTAGGAACAATGTTTAAAAAAAGGCTTATCGCAACATATTTTAAATATCCTGTATACTATACTAAAAACTTTATATATAACTTATTAAAGCATAAGGAACATTCCTTTACTTGAAGGTTTTCTTTATAAGGGTCATATATCTTTATAAGGGTCATATATAAATATATGTTTTAAAGAATTCTCCTCGTTTAGTGCTAAAATCGGTTTCATAAAATTCCTCATATTACTATGAAAAACTTTTAATTAGAAGTACATGGTTGGAAACAATGGTTACATTAACCTATTTTAAAAGGCTAGCGATATGAAGTTGCTGCTCCTATTTTAAAAATTTAAAGTCGATACGAATTGTTATATTATAAAAACACAAATAATTCTATTTAAAGTTGTGAATCCAAGACACTCATTATATCGATGACTATTACGAATTGTTCTGTAATTACATGAACAACAGCTTACTTATTTATTAAATATTTTTTCTTCAACGGCCAATAATAATGACAATGGCATATTACTTCACTTCTCGTGTCATGAACTCTTTGAAGGTATATAATTTGAAAAACAATTAAAAATCAAAAACTTTTACAAAGATAAAAAACTATCAAAATACAATTAATTATCAAAAACTTTTACAAAGTATTTTTAAAAATTCGATTTAACATAATTTAACATCAAACATTTTAAAGAACAAGGATTGTTACATTATCTATTATGTATGGCATTTCTCATAAAAAATCATTCAAAGAGCAAAATTATCTCATTAAAAAGTCTCTTTTACATTCTTAGCGATTAAATCGTCAAACCTACAGTTTCTTTTTAAGATTCTTTTTAAAATCATATATTAATTACCTGATACCATTAAAGTTGCGGTAAAGTGGTCACTTCCGAAAGTATTTTTTACTATGCAAGTATAATTGCCAGAGCTCTGCGACGTGACTGCTTCTATTACTAAAAATGAAGAATCCATCACAGACTGAATCTTAACATTTTGGGATTCTTGAATTTCAGATCCATCTTTGAGCCATTTGAAATCTAGGGGTCTATCGCCTGATTTTATGGTACATATAGCGCTTCCTCTTTCACCTTCTTTAAGCGCTGGAGGAAACATAAATGGTGCTACAACTGGAGCATCTGGCGGAAGAAAAATATAAGCAGTTTTCATTTGTGAATAATAAATAAAATAGAATATTACGAGAAAATAAGTGAAAAAAACATAAATTCTAAAGTAATCAGTTTTTTCTAGACATATCAAACACATTTTTTAACATGAAGATTAAAATAAAAGTAAAAATATAACATGATAGTGCTGTTGAAAATATGATTTAGCTCAAGAATTATTCCTTAAATGGTAATTTATAAAACCAAGTTGGATAACTTGTAGGGTTTATATTTATTTTAACTAACATTTATTTTAAGTTTAAGCTATCTGTCCTGTCAAGCCTTTACTTTGCCCTAGAATTGCCAATGCCAGAGTATGTAAATTGTAGTAGAAGGCGCTGTATATTCAAATTTTAGCAAAAGTAAGTTGAGTTTAAATAGAAGGGAAACGAGATTGTATGTGTGCTTCTTGAATCGCGAGCGTGAAGGTTGCTAGGTAGAAATTTAAGAACCGCGCGTTTCGGCCTGTGTGCCTATTTCCGCAGTTCGTTGAATCTTCAACTGCTTAATCAGTAAGCTTGCTCAATCTCAGCTGTATCTTAGAACGCGGTTAAGTTAGTTACGATTTTAGAGCCTCGTAGGTAGTGATCTCGTTATTTATTCATCCTGTCATTTATTTTTAGTTTCACATTTCTGTTTTAAACCACCGGGTCGGCGTAGTTTGTGAGCATCAAGTGAACGCAGCTGTATTTCTAAAGTGGAATAAAAAGGGATTTAAACCCTTCTTACGAGTTTGTGTAATTTACAGTTCATAGCAGTCACTACCACTGTTGCTGACAATTTGGGGCCTCGCAACACTATAAACTAATTTTCACAAAAACATAGGAGATTTATGTGTTTAAATCCGAAGATCCATATACTTTTTCCTCTTTTACCAGACTTTCAAAAAGACTTTTATATCGATGGATTTTTAAATGCCCTCATCCCCAAAGATACAAGGTTATAAATGATTTATCCAAGATTCGAGACGTGGATAGTGGTTTGTTTTCGCTAAACACCATATCGAATTGGGAAGCATCAAAGTAAGATTCACTATTACTCATATATCGTAATAGGATAGCGTTAATTTTAAGAAATTTGCCTTTGAAAACAAATGCAATTTTACTTCTACAGTACATAATATGCAAAATGTTTATTACGCGCCACTTAGATAAACTGAACACTTTTTTTATGAAAAGTTTTCTTTTAACGTTATTATGACGTTCAGTACAATAAAACTTGTTTTCTTTCAATTATTATTAAAGTAAGTTTATGAATATTGTTATTCCCGATTAGTAAATCTCTGTCTCGTAGCGGATTCAAATTAAAATTTTGTCTACAGTTAGGGATAAGTCATTCGAAAAACTGACGTATTTTCTAAAGAAAGAACAAAGAATATATGTATAATCAATAGATCTAAGTAACCGTAAATGGTGAAATGATTTAATTCAAACAATAATTGCATGCTATACGTAAGCTTGCTAAGTATTTATTAGTGATATTTATTGCAATAAATTATCACTAAACTTTTTTGTCTAAGATTCAGTAAAAATTGTTTAATTAAAATATATTGATCCCAAGGTCGCAGTATTTATGTCTTTATAGACTGAGCCTATATTTCGTTTCATCTGCCGTCGACTGGAAGTGAATCTATAATACAATTCACACTCCACGTGTAATCTGGATTTCCAACCTTTTAATATATTGATTTGATTGAATGTTTACTTATTTACTTCAAATGTCCCGCTTATGTCTTTAATTTTTGTGTTAGATATATCTCAGAAAAATCCACCGAAGCGATTTTGTTTCCTGTTCTTTCATGTACACTGCGCAAAAAATGGGACAGTTCTGTATATCACGTTCTATACTGGGCCGATTGACGAAACTCAACTTGCGTTTTTCATGTCTCGAAAGCGCGACTTAGGCTGTGTGTTAGATTTATATATAGCATTGTTCTAATATAGGTATTTTGACAAAAAATCGGACTTTTTCTGACATGACATGCCAATGTTTCCATATTTTGATTCTACGACTCCAATTATGCCACACTGCCAAATTTTGTAAAACTCGTACAAGTAGTTTTTAAAAACATTAGCTCTGAAACTTTTAGCTCCTCAATGTTAACTGAATTTGATATATATTTATTAATATCTCCTTTTTTATTAAACTTACTTGATTCCTTCTTCGAGACTTTGAAATTAAGGCTTAATCCAAATACAATTCGCACAATTTTTATGATTTATTTTTAATATTTGTATTTTTAAATATTTTTCATAAATTTTTCGAAAACAATTTTGTATTGTAACCTATGAAATTTTTACATCATTTTAAAGTAGATGTATTTCTAGGCACACTTGCAAAAAATTAAAGTTTTAATTCAAAATTTTCTAAGATATAGTACATGAATTTACAGATTGGCGCTTTTTTAAAGTTAGCATTTTTGTTATAGCGATAATAATGCCAAATGTGGTTTACGCACTTTGTTAAAATTATTTGAAAGAATAAATGAGGGCTTTTTTCCGCTCGTCTGCAATGGAAAAAAAGGAAAGAAAATAGGTTGTTGTAAATTAAGAAGTTCGCCAAGTAAATGTTTCTTGGCGCAAACTGAAACAAATGCGCGAAAATAAATTTTTTGAGTTTCGCCATAAATTTAGCACCAAATCTCACAAAATTTAATATTTGGGTATAATTTGAGTAGTAGAACCGAAATATGGAAAACGCTTGGCATGTCATTTCAGAAAAGTCCAATTTTTCGTCAAAATACATGTGTTAGAATAATGCGATATGTAAATCAAGAATCTATCCTAAGACGCACTTTCGAGACAAATAACGCATTTTGAATTTAGTCAATCGGTCTAGTAGTACGAGGAGATATAGAATTGTACCATTTTTTTTTTTTTTTTTTTTTTTTTTTTTTTTTTTTTTTTTGCGCAGTGTGCATGTAGATTGTAAAATGTTTTCATATTTCCATTTACATATCCCACGAAATAAATAAACCGGTGAGTTTTGCTGATATAAGATATGTTATATGTACCCCCCCTTGAGTTTTGTTTTAGAAGAGTATTTGATTTTAAATTTAAAGGTATTTAACTGAAGTACTTTATTCTGAAAAACTTCTGGTTTTATGACAATGGCCTTATTCAATTCTAACATTGTTCTTCGAAGGCTTTTAGCAACAAAGAAGAATTTTTATTTAAATTTTTTCTTCTTGGTTGCTTAATGTACAGCCATCATGGTTTCAACCTACTAATATTCCACGATATTTCAAGCCTATTACCATGTTGTTGTTTCTTGTCCATATTACATGGAAGAATGGTTACGCAGAGAGGATGAACTTCTAGTTTGCACCCCCAATTTTGAAGGAGAGCACGCCGGCAGGTGAGATCCGGATGTCTCCCACCCCTCTCCCCTTCCACCAATCCACGCGAGAGGGCTTTCGGCTTGCCGTATATTTAGAGTTCATTCTTCTCCGGGATTCAAGCCCGGGCCCTTCGGTACCGTAGTAGGCTTCCCTCACCACTATACCGTCCGGGAGACCCTATTACCCTACTTAAAAGAGAAATTCGAAACAAGACTAAAACGTTTTAACATATCCTCCTGAATACTAATTCACTTACATGTGCGATGTTTACATTTTGCAAAAGGAAGTGTTATAATTAATATACATTACATAAATGAGAGGACAATTAAAGTAATAATTTTCTTTGATGAATGCCTGAAACCCCGAGCTGCAATTCTTTGAATTTCAAATATGTTTCAAATGATGTGAAGACGAAAAACATAACTTTTAGTAGTGTTTTAAACTATAATTATTTTTATAGCTTTAAATCACAAAGTAATCTTGGAAAATTTATCTTTATCAGAGGCTATTAACTAATCAAGTAAACATAGGACAGTTTCCTTTACTATATTCTGATCATTTTCAAATGTTGACCTCTTTTCTTTTTTTGGTTACATATTATTTTAGAAAAAAAATAATTTTACAGCTCATAGAAATACTGTAAAAGAGCTTGGGTTTCCTTTAACAATATTAAAAAAGTTTAAAGTATGTATTTCTATAAATAAGTGTAAGATGAACTTTTGCTGCCTGTAGATTATTACTGCAGTAAAAACAGTTTTACACCTCTTTTAATATTGACAATCACTTTCAAGAACATTAAAAAAATGTAAAAAGCAACACGTTTTAAATATAAGAAAGACTACTTTTCTGCTATATATAACTTTATGCTGCTTTAATAACATAATTTACTAAGTAGTTTTTAATTTTTACAACAAGTTGTTTTTATAACAATTGTAGTTTTAAAACACAGTTTAGTAATGCTTTAAAAAAAAGGCAAATTAAGTTTAATTTTAAAAAAAGCAAAACTAAATGTTAGTCTCATTTCATGAATAATATCACCTTTTCTGATTAAAATTATGATAAATAGTGTACATTCATACATTGCTTAGAAACTAGTGTATATTCGTGTATTGATTGGAAATTCAAGGTTTTATTTGTGAAATTTCTGAGCATAAATGTAAATTAACATTTCCAAGATCACATGCATACGCAATAAAGTTATTATTTCCTTCAAAATCCAGATTGCTCATAGCGTGTAGATTTTTCAAGATCTAGATTTAATAAATACAAACATCCCACGCTTATTTTGCCACACTTCGATTCTTCTGCTGTTCAATAAAGCACTGTAGTAAATTATGTGCTTCATTTAGTTTTTGAACAATTATTTAAAAGGTATTATAATGAATAAAAGTCTCAGAGATGACAGAAGAAGGATTACAAAATTTGGGGAATATTTATCATGACCCAAAACGAGACCATTATCATACACGTACTGACACAATAAAACTTCTTTTAGTACATGCATTAAGAAAACAATATACAGTACGCTTATAACCACACTTTTATGCAAATGGAATAATAATATTTTGAGCTACGAACTCTGAAACGAGAAAAGTAATTATGTGTAAAAATCAGTTTTGAAAAATGCATTTTCAGTTCATTGATGTATTTATACTAAAACGAGTATACTTAAATACGTAAAACTATTCACATTTATTGCGTATATGCTCCTCACGATCTCATTTGACCAATTTTCCTTTTTTAGCCAATATTTGTTTTCTCGCCAAGTTTTACCTCTGGCAGTAAGGGATATCTGAATTCGTTAATTCATTCTTTTTCGAGTTCTTAAAACTCCTTTCAATATGTAATCACCAAGATAAATACGAAAAATTTCAAGAATGTCTTATAAGCTTTTTGCCCATAAATTTAGGGCTTGTTGTTGAACAATATCTTTCGGGTTGAAGTTTTATAGAATATTTTCATATTCCTTGAATGCATTCTGTGCTCTCCCGTTTAAGTTTTTAAATAATAAATTTTGATAACACAATTTCATACAGTCATTAAGACACAATAACACGCCGAATAAATACTAATTCAGAAGTCAAACAACAAAAATCAGCGTAATATTTGCAAATTTTCACAGGACTAGTTTCGATGGTTTTACCGAACTACCATCTTCAGCTGCAAAACCGCAAATGATGGTGGTTCGGTAAAACCATTGAAACTAGTCCTGTGAAAATTTTGCAAATATTACGCTGATTTTTGTTGTTTGACTTCTGAATTCATACAGTCATGTTTAACTATGATCTTATGTTTTCTTGCATCCTTCGGATTTTCCCTACTCGCTTGCTCATTTCCGATTTTTCCTACTTCACAAAATCTTTGGTATCTTCTCTTCAAATTAACATAGAAATGAACACAGACTTCTTTAAATTTAAAACTGCCCTTTATCAAATAAAGTAGTAAAATAAAAATGTGATTTTTTATCCCAATTGTTCATTTCTTTAAAGGTATCCGTAACGTATACGGATGCCTTTAAAGTGTTGCTGAGTAACAATTAAAGCAGCTAGATGTCTAACAAATAAGAATTTCTAGTTTGTTGTTAATAATACATGCAAAGGAGGTAAATTTTTTGCTTTTTTATAATACTGCATTTGTAGTTCATGAAGTGTTACAACTAACATTGAAACTTTAAGCAAGCGTAATATAAAATATAACGATCGTTTTCCTTTTAAGACGTGAAAGTGTAGTTACTGAGATAATTTTGATTTTTCATCTTCAGAATCACGCCAGTGTTACAAAATACCATCAGTATTTGATAATTCATATTTCAAATGTATAATTTAATTTAAGTATGTAAAGCAAACCTACGTGTATATAATACAATGCAGCTTATACAAAATTAAATCCGAAAATACCACCTTTACGAATAATTCATGTTTTAATGCACGTAATTTAGAAATAGTACTCTGAATGTATATGTACGAGTACATGTTCAATTTATTAGAGCCTTTCCACAACCTGAAGAGTTATCATTGAAAATTATGCCTTGAATAGATCTTAGATAACTCAATACATCACTCGAACGATGTGAAAATAACGTTTCAGCATGCAATACCATAACATTTCATACCGCAGAGCAATATAGGTCACAGATAACAGATACCAAATCCCGATTTATATCAGTGAAACGTTCACTTACGATTTTTACAAAAATTTTGTTTAGAAAATAATTATTAAAGAAAAGTTAAATAATTATTAAATAAAGTTTAAAAAAATAATTATTAATTAAAGAATAAATAATTACTGATATTAAAATTTGATATTACTTAAAAAATTTCAACAAAATTCATATAGAACCAAAAAATTTAAATCATAAAAGATTTTTGGAATTAAAATAAATAGTATCAATTTCTCTTTCATTTCAAGTGAAATCACAGTTCTGCACAAAAAGGAAAAACAAAGAAAGTTATAAGTATTTTAATTGTTTATAATAAAAATCTGATTTTAATCGCATATCTAATTTTATTTTATATAATATATATGGAATGCGTAGAAAAGAGGTAAGAGTGTATATTGAATGTGTTAAATTTAAAAAAAAAATTAGCATTCGTTCACAATTTTTTTCTCACGCTTCTCTTTTTCTGCAAATTAATCTAAAGTAAATTCAATCATTATAAAAAAAAGCGTTCAGTTTGATTAAATTTTCGAACAGTTATTCTTACCTGATGCTTCTGAACACTGAATAAAAAAATAAATATTTAACACCATAAATATGCAAAGATTGATCCAAGGAAGGTACTTTAGTGTATCCGACTTTACAGCAAATAATAGTGCAGCCATTTTGGAAGCGTCACTTGCTATATACACATGCACGAGAATCAATTGATTATTGGATAATAAGGCGTTAAATACATAAATCTCACTTCTTTTAAAAAGTAAGTATCATATTTTATGTGAAATACACAAATATTCTAATAAATACAAGCATCCTATCCATCAGTACAACAAACCTTCCCAATCAAAAAAACGCAAATGAACGAACACAGCGCCACTGTGTGGCGATACTTAGTACAACGGAACTTCAAGCTGTTCGTTGGTTATGGAAGATAGCATTCTGAAGCTAAGTTTTACCTCTCGTAACAAATTTTACAACTTGAATAAACGCAGCATGAAAAAAAAAAAAAAAAAAAAAAAAAAAAAAAAAAAAAAAAAAAAAAAACGCTTTTAGCACGGTTTTCGAGAAAATAAACAAGAGGCTCACAACCATATATATATATATATACCGAAGCAATATTTTACATTATTAAGAATTGTGATTCATTTTTATTCTCAAACCCCGCCTCAACTATTTCCAGGCATTTTTATTAGCTTTTATACCATTTTGCGTTTTTAAGGCCATAATTTCATTCTAAGCCAAAACCTCAGTTCATCTGTTTTTAATACAAAAGTATTAAATTCATGTCATTATGCAATCAATAAAAATTACATAACGCCATATCAGTTTAATGTATTCAATTTTTTTCCATCACCCTAAATTTCAGTCATCATATGACCAAACTTAAAATGCAAATTTTAACGCAACTAAGATTAGTTGATTACTTTTTTAACTTATTCGTCTATTCTAAACCCATTTTGAATGGATAAAAATTAAGTGACCAAAAATAAAATAATTAGAAATGTTGCCTTACAATACAAAAATAAAATATGTATAAGAAGATACAGAAATGGTCTCATGAGTAGCAAGAACGTTAGCTATAACTGTCATTGCAAAATAACGGAACAAGATTTTAATTAAGCATATACTGTCTGGTTTGCCTTAGAAAATAATAACAATTTCTGTCATTGGTTAAAACTCTATATTTATATGTATGTGTGTGTGTATGATGACAAACACGTAGTAATGTTGATGGCTTAGAACGTATAACTTTGAATCCGTAATGAACAGCAAACTTGGCAGTCGAAGCGGATTAGGTTGCTTAGAAAAAGATTTCAGTTCTTGAAATTTTGAGCTCAGGTTCCGAATTGATTAAGTCCTCAGCGTTACGCAAACCATGTGGCATAGATTGATATAGAAATTATACTGTCGAGGAAAGTTATTACTATTTTTAAAATACAGAGAGGAAATACCCAAATTAAGAATGAGAAAGTAAGAGACTATTGATAAATTAAGTTAAATTTTTGGGGATTTACATATTTTTTAACCTACACACACTCACACACACACACACACACACACACATATATATATATATATATATATATATATACACCTATTTATTAGCCTAACACCCCCCTCCATTTCTACTAGTTTTATCATTCGAAAATTGAAAGAAAAAAATTATGCGAATAATATAATTTCTGAAGGTCACGACAGGACAAAACAAATGAAAACATGGTTAAACTACCGGTAACTGCCACGATATTATTTGTTTGAAAGAAATCTATATTGAAATAGCAATATTACTAAATTATAAGAAACCAACACTGCAATAATAATATAACGTAATATTAGTATTAGAGCATCAAAAAGATATTTTCTTTATTTCTACTTCTCTCTGTATCTTGAATACTGCGCGCTCTCACTGTTGTTCCCTGCTACTCCTAGGCATTAAATCATTGCTGGAAGTGCTGTCTGCATCGTTTTCTGTGTACCGGCTTTTAAATCAATGTCATCGTCTTCGCCATCGTTCAGTCTCTATGATCTTCGAAACCATCACGAACATTAGATACCTCTTTTTTTTTTTTTTTTTTTTTTTTTTTTTTTTTTTTAAGTCCAAAGGGATTTGAATCCCGAAGGACTATTAGTTTTGTTTTGGCATTTTGCGTCGGACTCATAAATGTCGGTTCACTTTTCAAACTGTTGCCACAAAATGTTAGAGTCCTGCATTATATTTGAAGAAATTAAATAATGAAAAATCTGCATAAATGTATGTATATTTCTCGTCTCGTATTGTGATAAAACAACGGTACATAGAGTCATCGAATTTTGAATAACGTATCCTCCAACGAATCATGAGCATGTGGAAGACCAAATTTGAAATTTGAAATTTGTTTTTATGATCGATTTCCTATTTTTTAAAACTTTGACGAATTTTTGATTAACAAACTCAAGGATTTCAAAAAGCGAGCAATGGCAACGTTGTGCAGAAAAACATTTTTATCTCCAGCGCGTGAGTCTCTGTATCGGAAATTCTAAAGATATGCTCGTTTTAAAACTATTTTGCGATATTGCTGTTGCACTGGATCTTATGGTTTAAGTGCGAGGAACATGATATTTAATAAAGAAAGGTAACACACAAAATGTTAAAAAACGCCCCTTTGGACGTAATTTAAAATCTTAAACATTTCAGATTTTTGTTGTTGTTGTTGTTGTTGTTGTTTGTTTGTTTGTTTTCTTTTTGAAGCTCTTCACTATGTTTCATCACTCAGACCCCGTACATCCAAAATCCGCGAGCAAACTAATTAACAAGACGAAAATAATCATTTCTTGGACGAATTCCTTTTAAAATTTAGGAAAGCTCACTCCCTGAACTTCTTGAGGAAGAGAAAAATTCTGTGAATACTTGAAAATTTTCAGAACATTGTGCTAAAAAGCTACAAGAAAATTACTCCAGTAAATACGGTACACACACATACACATAATAATAATAATAATAAAATATAATTATGGCATTTTATCTTTGGTAAATTTGTAGAATATCATTTAACTTTCTAATCAGTTATTTTAGATTAAAGTATTTTCCTACCAAACTTCATTTCAATTCCTGCCAGAATGTAATTTTCAACACCCGCGATATTCAAATTAGGTAGGAAGAGGAAATTACTTAAAGGAAGGTTTTGAAAAATGAAATCAGAGCATGTTCTACCTGCTTGAAGGCCACATTGCTAATTTTGATTCTCTAACGAGTAGAATTATGTTTTAAGGTTTTAAATATGCTTCAAAATTTTATGAATGATTTTACTTATGGTGCAAGAAGACATTCTCAGTTCCGATGCAATGAACTTTAAGTCGGTAAATTTTCTTTCAGGCTCAGAAACTTAACTTTCTTCACCTTTATCCACATACGAACAGTCTGAGATGCATTTTTGCGACCAATATTTCCTTCTTACTTTCACTTGATGCTTTTTCCTTTTCATATTTAATGTATTAAAAATACTTTTCTTTGAAATGCAATAACCTCGATTTTTAGACAGCTTTATAATTTGTTGACAGGAAACGTTTTCTTCGGAAAGTGCATGTACGTAATCTTTCATCCATTATCAATTTTAGGAGCCATTTCTAAAATAAATCTCTTATTCTGAACTCTGATCCCCTCCCCAAAGGAAATAGTTGATTCCCCAAAAGATTTAGCATTTAAAATGTGAAAACTTTATCTCAGAATGTTAAAGAGAAAATTTTAAAAAGAAAATCGTTTCCGATTTGATGATGAGAAAACTTAGTAGAGAACACACCAATTATTTTTCACCCATGGCCTGAGTGAAAATGAAGTTAGAAGGTAGTTAAAACACTTATTGCGTAGTAGTCTCGAATAGTGACATAGCACAAATAGCTTGACGATCAGGCACATTGTATTTCTGAATATAAACAATTCTTTGGAAGCACATTCTGTAGACATCACTTACCATAATAGGTATACTCTCCATTCCACAATTTTATACAAAACACAGTTAAATTTTAGAACAATGGATGAAAACTGAAGGACAGCGAACAGAGGCTAACTAGGCGACAGCGTGCAAGGAAGTTGTTTCGTAGTAAACTGCTGCAGTTATTCATAAACTCGGCTCTTTTGTTTTAATTTTGAACAGCGACTGGGAAAGAGTTTACAGGATTGCAATTTCCTTACAGGGAAATAATGACATCAGTGACGCAGTATAGATGCTTTGAAGAGATTGTATTTAAATTAAAATCAGAAATTTAAAGAGCTATGGTCATAAAAGGCTACTGCAGATTTAGTAATTTGCTAATAATTTTTCTTTATATTTTATTTAAAATTAAAAACTTTTAATAGTGCATTTCTATTAAAACTCTGTGGGATATACAATGAAAGAATTTGAAAAATATTTAGGTTGAGTCCAAACAAAGGAAGGGAGAAGGAAAAAAAGAGGTGTAGGATACCGAATTCAAAACTCAGCTATGAATCGATATTTCTAATACTCAAAAACTCAAATAATGAACAAAGTAGAAACACAACACTTTTCATATTCTTTGTAACATTAATAATTAAAATGCTTAATTCTTTAAAAAATCTAACAACGAATATGAAGACAATTCTCATTAAATTCAAAACATTAGAATACTCTTTTCAATTGCCAGACTCAGAATTACAAAGTTACAAATGTTAGTCACGTGAAGTTATACTGACAACAATACGCGCACATAAATTTAAACCCAGTTTTCTACAAGAGCATTAAAAAATAATTACTTGCATATACAAATAAAGCCCAAATTATGACAGTAATACAACCTTATTTCTGTCTTGCAGCTACGTGTCAAATTAGCCCGAATATAAGACCAATCTCATTTCCTTTAAATTGGGTAGTTAAAAACCGTAACTATCTGATATACTCCAATAATATCGTCAAGAAACATACTAGTTTAATACAATAATTATCCACAAAGTTTCGAATTAAAATAACAGATATTTTCTTAATTTTACGTGAAGGCAAAATAAAATCAACATATTTGAATACCTGAGATGTCTCGTAATTGCAGCTCCTAACTGCATTTCTGCGGGTAATTTCCAAACAATCTTTTATTTCATTTTTTCCTTCTTTTATTTTTCACTTGATGCCAGTCGCCCATACTTCCGCTCAGATTTTCCTTAAAATATACTATTTAAATTATTTAGTTATTTATTCTGTGGACATCTTCCACATATCAGGTTCATGTCTCATGTGAAAGCTTCAATCCCTTATTCCTGTTCGCTTTATCGATTTCTATATATAAATGTTTT